CAATATAGGTCACTCTTCACCCCATATTTCTTTTGCAGCATCTGTTGGACTTTTGCAGATTGAAGGGCAAGCCTGCCTTCACCTTGCACTGCTTTGATACTCAAGTAACTCCATATGCTTCTCTGGTGCTGCTCTTGATTGGCGCCAGTTTGAGCTTAGATTCAGACCCGTGCCTCTACCAATAGCACAAACCATTGCCACTCCACTGGAGTAAATGCCTATGTAAAACCCAAGGAGAAGCTGGACCCAAAGTCCTGTCCACATGGTGGTATAGAAGGTCAGTGAAGGTGATTATTAGAATTAAAGCAGGCAGAGGGCTGCTTTTTCTATGTGAATAGGTCTTTTTCATTCTTCCTTATGGGAAACCCATAAAAGGGGCTCCCTGAGCCCAATGCTGAACCCTGCCTCTGTTCCTCCGTGCTTACAGAAGCCTGCAGGCCAACTCACCAGCCAGCAGCACCGTTTCCCCGCTTCTCCAAGGGATGCTTTGATTGATTAAGCAGAAACACAGTCCAGTCCCTTTGAAAATGGGTGAACGTGCCCCTATTGCCTCACAGGACCCTACTTCAGAAAGCTTCTGTAGCTACCAACATGGCAGGTCTTCCCAGCCAGGTCTTGTACCCAACTGGAATATTAATCTCTCTTGCATGTCCTTTCTCTGCCCCAGGACCTCTCATCTCTAAGCAAAGTAATTACAAGGGAGAAGACTGACTGGTCACATATAAGGGGCTGCCCGAGTTCCCGTAAAATGCCACCCCATCCTACGTACCACCCCTCCCTGTATAACCATTAAAAACAGTTCTTGGCCTCTGAAACAACGGCAACAGGCTTCCTTGCTATCCTCACAAAAACAGGGGCATCTTCAACAGGATCAATCCCTCCTGTTCACCATTTTTAGTTTCTCTCCCCCTTTTCCATATCTCCCCTGGCTTGCAAGCCACAAAACGACCCTCTTGTGCTTTAATTAGGCCATCCAGTTCAGTCAGTGCCCCCAGGCGAGGTCTGAAAAGGTTTCGGCCTCTTGTCTCTACCCACTCACCTCCCACAGTTATTCAGTCTGGACTTCAGAGGAAAAATCTCTCTTTAGCGTCAAGTGAAAATTAAACTGCCTGGACTTCAAAACTAATAAAACATTCATCACAAATGCGATCCCAGGACTTCGCTTATTATCACATTAGAATCTCACCTAACCAATAATGGAGTCGAGCTTGGCCAATCCTCAAGATGAGAAATCTCATATTAACACAGGAGAAAAGTTGCCAGAGGAATTTAGGTAAGAGAACGCTCCGTTTACATACCTCCTGGGCTCTGCAGTGAGGATCCTGTAATGGATGGGGCAGCAGGGGCCCTAGGCAAAACAATTAAACGGGATAAAGCTAAGTATTATATTTTAATTGATCTAATCATGGCCTCCCAGTGGACTCCGCAGAGATATCTTACTAGAATTACCCCGTTTTATCAAGAGATGACTATTCTGGGAAAGTGCATTTTGGATGGCAAACTGCCCCAAATCTCTAACTTCATTAGCATGTTAGTGCAGTTGGTCAAATGAGAAAGGCCACCAAAGCAGCACCCCGGGGAAGGGGAGGGGGGTGCGTGAACAAAGAGTTGAGGGGAGAAAGAGATGTGTATGTAAAAGTGTGTGTGTGTGGTGGTGTGTACATGCGCACTCAGTTTTCCATGTGTCCAGGCAGAAACACCTGACAGGGGCATTCAAACCAAAGCAGTTTTGACCCATCCATGAATACCGCAACATTTAATTCTCATTTTTATTGTAAATAGTTCAATCAAAGCAAGAACAAAACAAAGAAAAAAGAAAAAGAAAAAAGAAAAAAGCCGGGGAGAGAAAGAGACAGACAGACATGAAAAACCTCCTTAATTTACAGAAACAGATATAAAATACAGCATGGAAAGAGGAAGCCAATGACAAAGAGATAAAAAGTGAAGACAAATGGAGGGAGAAACCCACTGATTTGTTTTTCCTCGTGTCCTCAGCCTGAGCAAACGACTAGGAGATCCTCAGAGCAGTGATAGGGTCTGGGGTTGTCAAGCTCCCTCTTTATTCACTGCGGTGAAGGGGGAAAAAAAAATCAGAGGTGATAAATGATTCATGGGAGCTTTTTCTTCTGCTAATCTGTAAATAAATTTTAAAAAGCAAGTTTCTTTTGATGAATATTTCCCGCTGCTTGTTAAAACATGTCGGCCTTGAAACAAAACACAGGCATGCTCAGATGTCACCAGTGCTGCTGTCAGGAACACAGGATACGCCGGTGAATTATGCAGTGGGAACTGTGGGAGAGGCACCCGTGTTTATCCTTAAACTCCCAGGGCCCGATTCTCAGCGGGTAGCGATCGGACTAGCACGACTGCCTTCCATGCGGCTGAGTCCGCTGACAGCCCCACAAGATCTGTCCCTGGGAGTCTAGCTAGATATTAATGCTCCGGGCCAAACTTTCAGCTGGTGGAAGGGGGCTCTGACTCCCTTGATATACCCAGATCAAAGCTGAGGATCTACCCTATTTCCCCCCATGTTGATCAGAACATGTGGAGCAAACCTTGGCTGGCTGCAATGCTGCTTAAGCACATTATTAGCATGGCTTTTGCAGCCAGTGTAGACAGGGACTGTGTTATTTCCCGGACCCTGGTTCGAAACAATCTGCCCACGGTTGTCAAACCAAAAATAACACATTCCTTTTTCCAAGCAGGGGCAGAGCAATGACGCTGTCTTGTTTTGTGATGCAGAGCCTTACAACAGACTTGCGTCTAAGTCTTGGGCCATGCGCTCTAGGAGCTGGTATGCCCCAATGACAGGCCCAATAGGCATTAGGCTCAGGCAGGCTTTGGGCTTTTCCGTTCAGGGTATAAGGCAACTACTACCGGGTGGAGTTAGGGAGAAACCTTCCTCTAGGGGTCAATACACCTACAACTGTCTATCTCTTTCACATTTCCAATCTCCTTCCACTATTCCCCACTGCCTGGCCAAAGGTGCCTGCTAGCCCTGCACCCCTGCCTCTCCTCTGCTATTTCCAATGCATGAAACACACTTCTGTTGCTCCACAAAACCTCTCTCCTCTTCCCATTGAGGCCCCCAAAGCCCCACATCTCTGATGCCAGCAATTAACTGGCCATCTCTGGCATGGCTGGGGGTACTTGAGAATCATCTTCTGATTCCAACCAAAACATTAGAGACCAAATCCTCTGGAGTGTAAACGGGCATTTTTCTCTTGAAGGCAACACTGCCCTGAGTCACACCACCTGAGGATCTGCCCTACGTGATTGACACACTGGATCTTTAAGCTGTGGCTAGTCCTCACCTGACGGTCCTACCCCTAAGTTTCACCTTCACTTCCAACCCTTTCATTTTCTAGGAGCGTGAGCTCTTTATAGACTTACAGATATTAAGGCCAGAGATGATCGTTGTCATTCTCTAAAGTGACCACCTCTATAACCCGGGGCAAAGAACTTCACCCAGGGCAGGGGCTGCTCCTCCTTCACACGCCACCTACTACATTTGGGGTACTTCAGGATACAGTCCCGATCCAAAGAGCCCATCCCTGCGGTATCTGTGCATATCCTCGTATCCTCCTGTGGAGCGTCTGGTAGAGACAAGTCGCTGGATTAGATGAGCCATCGGTCTGCTCTGCAATAGTGAACCCTGCGTCTAAAAGAGGCCGTAGCTTGCATTGTTCAGATCTCGCAGCAGACTGGGCCCCAAGGGACTGCGGTGGTGTTCTTTCCTAAGTGACCAAGGGCTGTCCTTCTTCTCTTGTTTTCATCTGCAACGATTACAGACAATGACAACAACAGAGTTTTAGGTCTTACTGTAGTAGCTAGAGGTCTGCAGAGGCCAAAGCGCCTCCACGCTGCAGGGCGGACCGACTGGGCTCACCGCTCCTCTCGGCTCCTCCCAGGGGTGCTATTGGCCTTTACCCCTGAGCATTTAGTGGGGGGTCACGCTGCTTTATGACTTGAATGGGGGGCGGGGGGGAAGAAAATCATAATTATACAAGGACATCTTTTATTTCAGTACATTCAAGACAAAAACAAAAAACAAAAACAACCAAAAAAAACAAAAACCAGGAAAGAAAACAATCTGAGAACAGGTTATACCTTTGCTCAAAGGTTTGTGTTTATCCCCCTTGCCCCTTGTCATGTTTTCTTTTCCCCTCTTATTTTACAATCAGAAATTGCATAGAATTTTGTTTTTCAATCAGAAAAATCAAACTCTTCAATGTAAAACTCACATTGTGTACCAAAACAGAGGGCAAGCTGCTGCTACGGAAGCAACGATGTTCTCACCCGAGACCCCAGACTGATTTTCCCCACTGAACCCCCGCCCCGCGTCTTCATTCAAGGACATTTGGTAGCAAGGAAACCCTTAGATTTCAGAGAGGTCACACACAGGCGCGCCTTTGAGCCTGGGGACAGCGCTAAGGGTTTGTAGGAAGGGAACGTGCTGGGCACCTGTTTCTACCATGACGCTGGGACTGCACCACTCTCTGCTGGTGGGAAAAGGCAGAGCTCCTAGGAGAGCGTGGGGAGTCCTGCAGCACATTCAGCTCCCTCCTGTCACCATTTGGCCTTTTTTCTGAAGACCCCCAACCCCTCCCCACGCCAATAAAAAAAAAGAAGAAGAAGACACAGAACCCCTGAAATTCCAGGCGTTTCAAGGCCTCTTTGAGATCACTGTGTGTGTTGGTAGGTTTTTTTTTTTTTTGGCATTTCACTATATATATATATGCTTTTTATAACTCCTCTACTGGATTTTCATCTCAACCACTGCTGCTACTTGGGAGCTGCGTCCCGTCCTGCTCTTCCTCACCCTACCTGCCACATCACTGCAAAGGAAGGAGATTTTAGCACCTGAAATCCGGTGCGCTGGAGACCCTAGGTCCTGAAGTACCAAAAATAAAATAAAATAGATTACTCCTCCCTTCCCATCCCCCCTCCCCACTTCAAATAAAAATATCCCTGTCCCACCCCCCCCATCCCCTCCGGAGAACATCCTTTTTTGAATCTATGTGATTGGGAGAGATGGCATTATTGTCCTTTCTTTTGTCCTAGGATGGGGAATTTCCAACAATGACTCTTGCCCCCCGTTGGAGCAGATCTGGTATGTGAATTGCCCTCAGCGTCCCTCCTCCCCACCCCAGAGTTTCAAGGTGAGGGGTAGCTGCTCAAGATAGGCCAACCAGAGGATCTTCCTCCTGGTGATTAGTATTCCAGTAGGAGCAATGTCCTCTTAAATAGGGTAAGATACCAAAATGTCTCTGGCTGGGCCTGGTTCGTAGCCTTTGTCTTGGTCTTGAGAAGCTGGGTAACTGCTTTTAATTTAAAAACGAGTTTCACATTGTACAAGTCCATGTTCTGTAAAATGGAACACGACCCTCCTTGCCCACGCCCTTGCCGCGCTCTACTCGGGTTCGCTGCTGTTGGTGGTTTTCTCCCACTCCAAGCTCTCTTCGCTTCGTGCGGGCGAGCCGGGAGCCGGCCGTGCCCGGAGGCCCTGGAACCTCCGGCACTCTGGGCACACCCGGATGTGTGTGCAGCCTCGAGCCACCAGCGCAGCTTCTTGTGCAAGTCTTTGGGCCAGAGGGTCGGGCTCCCCTCCGCCGCACAGCTTGCCATTGCTGAGCGTGGTTGTGCTGCGGGCTCGGCGCTCCTCGGGAATAACGGGGCGAGTCCGTATCATCCCCCCTCGCTTCCGACGAGGGTGGAAACTGTCCTTGCAGAGGATGATATTGCGCAGCTCTGTCACCATCTCCTGGCACACAGACACCTGGAAGGCAGACACAGGCAAGAGGCTGGTTTCCAACAGGTACTGCTCCCTACATTAAGGGGCTGATTCCAACAACCGCACCCATTCTGGATCCTGATGCTGAACCATTCTGGAGATACCAAGGCCGGTGCTTGGGATCTTCAACAGTTTGGGGATCCCAGGGTCTGCCACCTGTTCTAGATGCTACTAATTGAAATCCTCACTCATTCTGCCTCCCAAGGTCCACATCAAAGGTGCTCTCATGTTCTGGATCCCCAAGGTCCACAACTGGGATCTTTACTTGTTCTAGACGTGGTCCAGACTTGATCAACTGTGCCTGGAATTTAGATACATGCTAGATCCATGCCAACTGCCCCTGGGATGTCCACCTCCTTCTTACTAATTGCATACAGGGTGTTCACAAGCTTTGGACTCTCCTAAAAGGACTTACAGGTTTCACGGGTGCTAGCCCTCACCAGTTGCCTCTGAAATCCTCACGCGGTCTCCATCCCTCTGCCTAGAGTGCTCGAACCTAACTTGGATCCCCCATCTGCCCCAGATCCATCCAGCTTTTTCTTTTTTTACGGTCTTTCCGTTGGTGCAGTACCTGAGCACCTCATAAGCATGAACGTAGGAGTCCCTGCAACAGCAATGACATTTCGAGTCCTACCTCTGACTGTTCAGCGTGCCGGAGGCTCCATAAAAACTCCAGCATTGCCATAAAAATTGCTACGATGAGGCCACATATGAGAACTACGAAGATTCCTCCAATGTTCTCCATCCCCAAGCCTGAAAGAAGAGGAAGGAGTCAAGCAGAGAGGAAGATACAGTGAGTACTGAGCTCATCAGCACGTGGGAACTCGATGCTAATCATCACTGTGTGATTCCGTTCAGGGACCAAAATAAATGCAATGTGACCTGCACCATTCAAACAAAATTAACTAGCCCAGATCAAGCAGCAAATACCGAGCGACTTGTAATCACTGGCTGTGAACAGTTTTTCCTAGAAAGGATGATTTAGCAAATCATTCCAAACCAGAAAAAAACATCTCGGGGACCTGGAAAGCACTCCACATACAGACTGAGAACAGGAAAAAGATGCAAGCTCAGATGCTATTTACCTGGCTCAAGTTGTTTTGAACTCAGCAAATGGAAATAAGAGAAATCATGGAGAAAGTAAAGATAAGGAAGACAAGAGCATTAGGTGAGTTCAGCAGCAGGAAAAGTTACTTTGATCATGTTTTAAAAGTGCTGATGTAAAACTATTACAGTTATTTATATTGCAGTGGCACTTGGATATTCCAATCAAGATGAGGGCTCTGTTCTGCTAGGTGCTGTCTGGACACACAGTAAGGGACATCCTCGTCCTCCACCGTGTGCAGTCTGGTGTAGCTCTATGGGCAAAGAGCTACTCTGGATTTGCACTGACATAACCAAGATTGGAATTTGAAATGCCGATTTCAGGAGTCACGTTCCCTTACCGCAGGGATTAATTTGGCTTTAAGGGCCAGATCTTCAGCTGGGGTAAACTGGCCACACTACATGGAAATCAATGGGCTGGATTCTCAGCTGCTGTAAACTGATTTTGTTCAGTTGAAGTCAGTGGGCCATATTCCCAGGCTCCCTTCACTGAAGTCTGGAGGAAGCATGTCGGTTTATACCAGCTGAGATTTTGGCCCTGATTCTTTATGCATCTGGGAAACCTCCCAACTTCTTGACCTCAGTAATAGCCTGACTCCTTCCTTTCAGCAAATCACATAGGAACAGCTAGCCCGGTCCTCTCGTGTCTCTGCAGAGCAAAGCTGGTTGGTTCAAGCATTTCAGGGCTGACATCGAGGTCAGGGACCTGTGTCTGTAGTGCAGTCTGCAGTGTCTGGAAATGACTTCTCGCTCGCCCAAGTCCTGGTTTTGGTCCCTGGTGGACTGGGCTCTTGATTGAATTGATCACCGTGAAGCATGCAGCACCTTACGCTGCGGTGATTGTGTGCAGCTATTAGTCAACCAGAACACCTATAAAATCTGCCTCCCCCCTCTGTAACATTAAATCAAAGTGTGAGAATCGATGATTTATTGACTTAATCTCTGCGTGGCTTTTCGATATAAAACCTCACCAAAACCCTTGTAAATCGCTGACCTGTTTTGTTTTAAAACTCACAGGGTCACATTTCTCCCTCGTTCTCCATCATTCTTTTGGCAGAGTTTCTGGAGCGATCTAGTCACCCAGTAAATCAGGCCTTTGCGGGGAGAGATGTTTCCACTAAGGCAGCAATTACAGGACATAAAATGTATCCTGTAACCACCACCCATTCAACTCACACCTCCATCTCCCAAATTCACAACCCAGAGCACGGCCTCACCCTTGCCTGATCCCAGCCCAGTATCAGTGGAGATGCCCCTCATGTTCTCATCCCCACACTCAGCTCAGGGATGCTCCCCGCTTTCCTGTACTTAAGCCCCAGGACTCTCCTTGGCCCTGCCATCCTCACCTCCAGGGCTCTCCCGCGAATGATCAGAGCCTCTAGGCTCCTATTTAAAACAACGCTCCCTCGACCCCAGAGCACCTTTCTTCAGGGTGCCTAAAACACTTCCATTCACTTCACATTGCTCCTGGGAGCTGGTGTTACCATCCCCATTTCACAGCCAGGGTAAACCGAGGCACTGAGCAGGGACGCAACAATGGTTAGCGCACCAGTGGTAGAGGCCAGGAATGCTCCCAAAAAGGCTGGGAGCCTCATGCTGGGCTCAGCCTTTGGGGTCTGTTCCAAGTTTGCTCTCTGCTGAGTTTGCTGAGCAAAATACTCCCATGTTCCATCCCTCCCTGGAATGTAACCACATTTAATAATTTATCAGTTTATTTTCATCCCTTTGAAGCTTGCTCTTGCATTTGGGATGTCAAGATAAAGCAATTAGTGCTCTCGCAAGTCACTGGGTGGCTGTTTCTGTCCAACAAGGCACTCAGAGACTCTCCTGTAATCCAATACCCTCAGCGAGAGAGGCCTGGAAGCAAGTGGCTAAAAATATGACTTATTATGCGATCTTTAAAGTAACCGGGGAAAATCTGAGCACCTTGCAGAGGCCTCCTTTGCTGCAACTGGGGGGCTATCTGCAATGGGACAGAACTGCCAAAGCCAAGAGTAAAGTGTCTAGACATATCCCTGTTCCCCCACGCTTCTTTTGCCGAAAACTTGAGAGGAGAGAGAGGGAAGAGGGTGTGATAACATGCGGTTCCCAGTCTTTTTCCCAGAAATCCCAGGTCACAACCCTTTTGGTCTGAGCCCAAGCGCTATCACTGGATTTTGGTATGGCTCCTGACCCCAAATGGGGTCACAACCTCTAGTGTGAAAACCACTGGTGTTGAGGTAGGCCGGAAAGGACACTGGAGCTATAAGCATTAATGCTCCAAGCAACCCTATGCATTACGGTGGGTTTTGGATTCAAATGACAGGGCACATTTTGCAAACAGCATTTGTCTAGTTTGCCTACCTACAGTTCAATCCTGGCCCCCGTGACTGTAGTATCCAAGCAACTCCTGTTCTCTAACGTGCTTCTCTTTGTGATCCTCTGGTGAGATAAAGGCCCCCCACTTGATGGAGCGGGAACAAAGACACAGAGGGTATATCTATACGGCTCAAGGCAGTGCCATGCAGAAGGTACCCTGACCAGGGCAGATCCGGGGGAGCAGGGGGAGCTCCCCGCTCTGGCTGCGCAGCACGTGACTTCTCTATGTGTTGTGAGCTCACCAGCTCACCGTCCCTGTTTCCACCCAGCTCTGGAGCCTGGGGGTGTGAAGGCTGCCACCTCATTGCCTCTTTTCTCCTGCTGGTATATTCAGTGGTGTGGGAGGGCAGGGGAGGGCGAATGGTGGCGGTGCTCCAGCTAGAGCCTGCTCTGATAAGCTGATGGGCTCAGAGAGGTCGTGGCTCACAAGCTCCGCTAGGATCTGCGCTGACATGCTGGGGAGCTCCCTGCACACATGGGACAGGCAGAGGGATGTACCGGGCTGCTTTGCACCCTGCAGACCTGCCTGGAAACCATGTCCAAGGTCTCCCCTATTCACAGGCACGGTCTTTATTCTTGGATTATTCACTCTCTTGAAAGGACAATTGGTTGACCCTGAAACCTGGGTCCAGGGAACCTGAAACTCCACTCCAGATCTGAGGGCCCACTTGTAATTCCCAGCAACTCGCAGCCTTTCCTATGGTCTCATGCACAGAGCAGCTTTCTCTGCTAATGAAGCAGCATATGGAGGGAGCTTCTTGGCCAGCTGAAGCCCATGTGTGGTCCATCCAGCTTGTGCCATACAGCAAAAAAAGGAAAAGAAAAAAAACTCCTGCAACTGATCTACCAGGAAAATGAAACAGCAATCACAAGTCTGCTTGGCTCTTGGCCCCTGGGCTCAGAAGGGTCAAAAGGCTGTTCTCTCAGCCAGGGAACCTTTTAGCCTCTCAGAAAAATGCTCACTAAGGTTAGGGCGACTGCCAAAAAAATGCAGCAATTGCTTTAACCTGGCAAGTGTTCCTAGCGCTGGGACAGCAGCCTAATGCTGTGGCTTTTATGGCAATTTGCATAGCATTACCCAGAAGAATTTGCTCTTCAGTTTTAGAGCTTTATTAATAAAGTCCCTGTTCCCCCCTTCCTGTTCTGAAGGAGCTTTAAATTAGGCCCATTAACCAATGGCCCTGCAACAAAGCTCCATCTTCTCTTAAAGGGGCTCGGGCTTTGGATGCAATTCCCTTCAGCTGTCTGGTTTCCCGTGTAACGTTGCGGACATTCATTAGAAGATAATTTACCCTCCATATGCCTCCAATATTTGTCATTTGGTTGTTGCTACTCTCTTTGCCCCAGGCAAAAACACACAGCGTGAGGCACAGCAGAGCTGTTTGGCTTTCTCCTTGCATTGTGAAAGGAAGAAATCTTAAGTCAGAAGAAATGAAAAAAAAACCAACAACCCCACTGCTCCGCAGGCGGGAGACCGGGTGTCACTCCTATCTGGCTTGGGAGACGATCCTGCTCGAATCAATAACGATGTTGCTGCTTTACATCCTTGTTATCAGGCTCTGCTACGTGAAGGCGCGATGGCCTTGTCTCCCAGAGCCGGTGTGAAGGAGGGTGGCCTCGTCTCTCAGAGTCGGGGTTTACCTTTGGCTCTGTGGTCTTCCTCTTTGGGACACCTGCCTCCTTCCCACCACTTGCGCTTCAGGATTTCCAGCCGGTTGTTTTCTTGCAGCTGGAGAATGGCCAGGTCGAACTCATCGCGGAAGACGGAGCCTGTAAAAGCCAAGAGGGAGATGAAGGGACAGCCGGGATGGCTTTCCGTCCCTCCCACCCGCCACACACGGCCCTGGCAACCTGCCCAAGCAGGAGAGGGCCACCCCCACCCCCTGACTCTAAGAGACTACAAGGGAGTTCATTCTTCAAGGCGCCTTCAAATCCAAGTGGAGCCTGCCGACAAATGACTTCTAATTGCAGGTGGTGATTTTGCTTCTCCAGCAAAGACTCGATGGAAATCAGACCCAGGCCACCCAACAGCATCAGAAGGGAGAAAACTTTGAGTTGCTGCCATCTGGGCTAGCGTTCAAGTGGGCAGCTCCCTATCTCATTCCCATTCCCTGGAGCCACACAGGCTAATCCCTCGTCATGCTGCCTGTGCGTGTCTAATCTTACTCTAGCCCTCGCTCCTACGTGGAGCAAAGGATGGCAAGAAAACCCTCCCTGTCAATAACACCAATGAACCCAATCATCGGGCAAACCCCAACGCTCGCTGGAGGCCAGGCTCAGTTCCCATGCTCTCTTGCTGTCCCTGTATTTTGCACTGGAGAGAAAACCTAGGATAAATTATGAGCTACAGCACGGTAAATATAGAGTGACTCAATGGGACTGCACCAGTATAATGAGGGCCAGAATCTAACTCCCTTTATCCCCTGTAATTTCACTGTTTCTCAAGGCAAACTCTGGCCTGAAATGTAGGGCTAGTACATAATAGGAATAGCAAAATACAGTTAGCCTGGGATTTGCTCTGGGAGTTAAAGCTTCCTTTGCAGTATGAACCGTACAGATGAGCCCAGTGCTGCATTACAGCATGAGAATCACACACCAAAGCTATTACTACTGTTACTTCAATATCGTTAACCACAAGTGTTCAAAAAGCAGCCCCTCCACGGCACTCAGATCACACGACTGGCTTAACAATCATGAAATCTTTCAACATAGCAAATAGGAAACCATTTAGTTGCCTTCTGGAGCTGGAACCTTTAGGGACAATGTTTTCTAGTTTTCTTTCTTTTTTTTTTTTTTTTTGCAACCACAATGAATAAGGACATTTTATTTCTTACAAAAGACAATTAAAGCCAAGATTCCAGGAGCGGGGGCTTACGAAAAACACCCGACATCAAAAAGCTTGTGATAAAAATCAATGGAGTTGGCGGCATCTTTTAATGCACTATGGTGGGAGACAAGGTAGAGAGTGAAACGAGCTTGCCTGGTTTCACTCCCAGTGCTGAATGGGAGGAAACATAGTACACAAAGAGCACAAATGCAGAAAAATAAGACGCACACATTTTTTTTTTTATAGTAAACATCATTTTAAATGATGTGGGGGCAGGCAGATGAATAATTAAAATGTGTTTGATTTTCCTCCTGATGGCATCTCTGAAATGAAAGGGACACTAGGCAGATCAGCGAAACGCGGCATCAGTTCTAGAGCTGTTTCTGCCTTTCAAATGCTCCGATCCTCTGCAGACAGCTGAGAATGACTATAATTTTTCTTCACTGCCTACCGACTGGCATGCCAATCCCGTAGCCCTTGGTGTCCAGAAGGCCCCCGACCTGCGTGAGGTTGCAATTGCGCTGACGGTAATACTCGTTCATGGTGGACTCCAGCAGGAAGGCATAGTTGGAATTCAGCACCCTGGCGATCCCTTCCTCCGTGCTCTTTACGAACACGCTTGGCTGCTTTGAGTACATGTAATTCCACATCCGCTGGTACGTCTGGTAACGGGAGTTCTGCAAAAGAAAGGGGAGAAGAGGAGCCATTGGAGCAGCACTGCCTGGGGGGCTCTGCCCCAAATGAAAATGTGTACCAATATAAGGCTGGGATGTTGCAAGGAATCTAAGGGGTTTGGGTGCCCAAATGTGCCCCACTGCCATAGGTTCCCATGATGTTTTAAGGCCTCAAAACATTGTTAAAAAATTACAAAAGCTTAGAAGAAAAATGTTTCTATGGCAACATTTTATGACAACTGATTCCAGCTGGAATTGCTCTTGCTTGGCTGGTTTGCTCGGAGACCAGCGCACCGTGCTGTACAACAGCCTCAACCCAGTCTTGCGAGAAACAAGGTGGGAAATGAGAATGACAACGTTGAAGGGTCCAGGAATGACTGATGGGGCTGAGCTGTAAAGTCTGCACCTTGATCCAGTCTTTGAGGCTTTCTGGATGTGGCCTTCTGATTCATCCAGTCATGGGTCTGATCCAAAGCCTGCTGAAGTTAACAGGAGTCTTTCTATTGACTTCAGTAGGACCATGATGACACTCATAAGGACATCTGAGCCAGACCTCCCTTACAGTTTGCAAGTGTTGGATTTTAGAGCTTGGGTGCCAGCCCATCTTGGCTGCACAAAAAGGGGGACAGACACGGCTACACTTACACTGCTTGAGCTAAATGGAGAGCAAAAAGTCAACAAAGAGCAGAAACGGTAATATTAATTCTGGTTAAAATGCACTCCAGTTTAGCATTTCCATGTTTTATTTTTGTTCTTTAACATCTGGGGCTCTGTCTCCCCGGATCTCACACGGTGGCTTTTGCCAACATAAGACAAGTGCAAAGTGCAGGTAAAATGCTTCGTTCTGAGTCAGCCCTGCGTCACCCCCACTTGTCATTCAACTTATTCTGGTTCAGATGACTAGGAAAGGTGCATGGCAATGGAGAACTGAGCCCTTGATTTTTACACTGCCAGTTTCCCTGAAAAGAACAGGGCTGATTCAATGCCTGAGGTACAGTCTTTTTTATTTGCTTGTGCTACATTTGGCTTTTCTGAGATACAGCAATCTGCTTAAGCAGCCCTTTTCCAAATCTCTAGGGTCTGCAAAGTTGGGCTGGAAAGATCAGATTCGCTCAAGAGGTTTCTGGGCTTCCTGTTTCAATTCAGACTGAACAGAAAGCAAGAAGAGCTTGCTCCTCTTGATGCTTCAGCATTTAATAAATAAATAATCCCCAGACTGCGTTTTGTGCATTCAAAGCACTGGTCAAAAGATTAACCTCCTCATTGCTGCTGAGAATGGGAAAGTACAATCACTCATGCAGATATGATGGGCCCGACTGCAAACAAAGCTTGATTTGCATCAAGTAGGTATATGTATCCATGGGAAAGATCAGGGTTTGCTGACACATTTATTCTTGCACACACTGAGCCTTGCAAATGCAGAAGTTAGGGCCGTGTTAACAATGCAGAGACGTATGAAAATTTGGCTGCAAATACTTGGCTGTCAGGAATGGGGCTCTGGCATATGGCTATAAATGATATTGCTACCTACTCTCTGGCGCTCTGGGCAGGAACTCAGCTCCTGGGGCTGGGAACCTAGGCTGTCGCCTGTGTGTCCTGCAAAGTTGTCCCACAACCCTACCCCTTGAGGGTGTCCAGGTTGTGTCTGACTGGATTCTTTCAAAATCCCCTGACTCCTCCTCACTTCCTATCACTTCTCTGAGCTCTGGCTTAATCCCACTTTGGTGCTGCTCATTGCAGTCTCAACTCCCCTCACTCGCAGTGAGAGGTGGACCCGGGTGCACAAGTTCAATTAAAAAGCAGAGGATTCAGCCCACTCAAAATGCAACTGAGAAAAACAATCGCTCGCCTTGTAAACAGCCTTTCCAAGAGCAAATGCGTCTTTCCGCATCCTGCATGCAGCCTACTGCTGTTTCTTTCCAAGTTCTCAGTTTACTGGGGGGGGGGAAAGGCCTTTACATCCCACATGCACGTACACAAATGCAACCAAATCCGTCATCTCATCTCGTGGCAACCAAGGACAATGAAATGGATCCAGCTGCTACAGATGCCACCTACACAGGACTAGGATGGAGTGTGCTGGAAAGAGCCCAGGTTCATATCCTGGGTCAATTTCTGATTTTTAGAGAATATGTGTCCCCTGACTTTTCCACCCCCTACCCTCCCGCACTCCCAGTTAACAAAAAAAAAGGGGGTTTACTTGGAAGAAGGTCATGCTGGAGCCTCCGTGAATGGTGCCGTACTCGATAGCCGTCTGGTCAGCGAGGTCATCTACCGACTCTATCGGCACATCCATGCGTTGCACAGTGAGGAAGGCTGCCAGGTTGGCTGTGTAGGAGGAGATGATGATCAAGGTGAATGCCCACCTGGAGAAGGCAGGGAGAAGAGAAGATGAACTGAGATTCATCTAGGGTCTGAGTTGGTCTCCGCCCCGCTCCAGACCTGGAATAACAGGCTTGATCCCGGGAAGTGCGAGTACCTGCCACTCCCAGCAAAGGCCCACACGTAAGTGAAAGGTGCCCAAAGTTCTTTGGAAACACAAATCAGTCTTTATTTGAATCCTTCAGGGCAAATTAAGTAGATTTAGGTCTTAGCAGGTTAGTGGCACATCTGCTTGGAGTCTATCATAGGTAGGCAGGTAGCGGAAGCAGAGGCCACCTAGTTTTCTCCATAAAGGGATGCCCCTCTCTGGCAAGGCTCCCGGGGGCCTTGCATTTGCTTAGGACTGTTATTCCTCTCAAGTGACAAACCAGACTACTCTGGTTAAGAGGTCAGGCAGTCTACCACCACAACAGGGGTGGCGTTTCATGGCAAGAGGACTTGGAGGCTCAGGAAGCAAGTGAAAGACCACCCCATTATGTGGGCACGCTGGAGCAGAGTCCTCAGAAGTGCAAGACTGATGAGAACATGCCAGGGATCAGAAACATCCTGATCTGGAGCTCCTTGAACGCCAGAGACTCATCTGTTGTTGGCCAAACCCTTAGCAAATGGTACCATGGCGCTGCTTGATTGCACGACTCCAGAACACTACAGCGTTTAGCAATGAGTCTGCACATCCTGAACCATAACTGGAGACTATTTAAAGGTGCAACAGGTGTCTCTCCTTACCAGACTCCGCTGACACACCGTGTGGATAGCGCTCGAGGCGCGATGGTAGACCCTTGCTGCATGAACCCCCCGACTGGAAACCACAGGCTGTTGCCGAGGGAGTACTGATTCACCAGGAGATTGCACCTCCCTTGCGAGCAGGGATGGGGGCTGTACCACTCGTATGGTGTCAATCTGCAGTGTCAAGAAACAAGACATGAAGAAACACTGATTGCAAGGCAGGCAGGGGGAATAGAAGTGGTGAAGCCCTCACTATCCTGGAGGCAGAATCTCTAGGCAGGAAGCTCTTTGCTGGCAAATGGTGCCAAGGGGCTCATAGCAATGTTGTACAAGAGGTTTGCAGTAACACCCGGAAGCCCCCAGGCTTTGTAATAAGATCTGCAAAAGGTTTGTGAAGCTTTCAAGCAAATTCCAGCCTGGGCCTCTGCTTTGCACAAACGACAACGCAAGTGTGAAACGCACATGGATCAGATGCGAAATCAGGTGCCATCCAGCAGTTTCCGCTGTGTTTCTCTAGTTGGGGAATTAATGCCAATGGGGAGCTCTAAGCCAAACACAAGGTAGGCAGGTCAATGCCAGAAAGAAAAGCCAGGCAAAGGTCTGGCATGGACCAAGTTCAAATCCAAAGTGGGGCACTGCTGTTTTCAAAGAGCCTTAGACTGTACCGAGCTCATGGGAGCAAGTCAGGAATCTGCATGGGGCACGTTGCGAGATGGTAGCGTGTGCTAGATAAATGTGGGCTGCCAAGGAGTCATCCAAATGACTACTGCTCACATCTCCAGACTAACATCCGCTTTGCTTACAGGCTAAGACTCATGCTAGGGACTGGCAGAGCTCATGGGCATCACAGACGAAGAATAATACGGGCACCCTGCTTGTGAATCAAAGTGGGGCTCGTCCTCCACCCCGAGCTCTTCCACTTCCTCTCCCTTCTGCTCTTATTCCACTCCCTGCTTCCAAACTAACATATCGCTTCTCCCCTCCTTCTGTTTGGGTGGAAAAATCTTCTGATAATGAGGCTTGCTCCCACTGCCAGCATCTGGTCTTGGGCATGCACAAGCTGTCTGGGCTGGCTGGAGAGGCTATTGCACCTGCAGAGAAACCCTCCTTGAGTCAGTCTTAAATTGGGTTTCACATAATGTTAATTGGTATTAAGAAAACCAGAACCCAAAAGGCTTGGCTTACTGATCTTATGGGCCAGTTACTATTCCACCTATTAGGCACCTGAGTGCCGTCTAGTCTACCCTACTCAAATCCCTGAAAACCTGCCAAAACCCAAAGCAATGGGCCCTTTGGGTCTCTGCTTTTTCTGAAGGGATGTGTGATGAGCATTTTTTCATTGAATCAAGCAGGGTGGAATAGGATCACATTTAGACACCTATCAGATGGAATAGGACCTAGTCCTATGACCACAGCTTGTGCTGGGAGCTGGGTGGGGACTTCACTGCCTCACACTGAGATTAACCAAAGTATGGTCTGTGTCTTGATTTCTTAATTTCCTCATGGCTTGCTGTGACTCCAGGGAGGTGGAGTTAATCTCTGGAGGCTTCCCTTTATTGGTTTTCAATACTGTAACGACATCCTGATAGAGGCTTTTTGGCAACTCACAAAGGTCACAAAGCCCAGCTGTGAGCTGCAAACTCCCGGGCACTTTCAGAGACTATTTAATATGGGCCAGTTTTCATGGAGAACATGCAGGAGCCCCACTTTAGTCATGTTTAAAACATGCAGAAGAAGGTTAGAGTGGCTCAGTCCGGAGACAGCGTCTGACTGCATTATTAAATGGTTTACAGAGCTGTGTTATTGAGGCTATAACAGGAGTCTGAAAACCATTAAAACCCTGTCAACATGACAACGTTAGCCAAGCCAGGGGACCTAGCAACAGCATGCTTCTCTTTTGTAATGAGGACTGGGTATTTGCTGTGCCCCGCACGAGTGTTTAAGCCTTGGGCATATCTTTAGCGCACCACCAGGACAGTCACGCTGTGTCCGAGGAGCCCATCTGTGCTACCAAGCAGAGCCGCTCGGGTACAGGGTCAAGGCAAAGCGGAATAGCAGCAAGGTCATCCCTGCTGCAACGGGGCATGTGCTGCCAGCAAGCCCTCCATGATACGATGTAAGCCTGATTTACATGGGCCATACAGAAGCTGACTCATTGCCCATCAAACAGGATCTGGGTAAACCACAAGGCTCTAGAAAGATGCCGATGCATTTTCTGTACAGGCAGGAAAAGCCAACCCAGGCATGGGAAATGGTTGCAAATTCATTTTAGGAGCTCGATGCCTTGCTATCGCTTCCTGGATCGACCAGCCTTGTTGGTTTCTATTCCTATGCCCTCTGGGACTTCCAGGCTGCTTCTGGCACAGGCCAAGACCAATGCAGCCAACCACATGCACCCTAATCTGTCTGATCTGCTCCTGCCCCTGTCCCATGGTGACAATGAAGGCAGGGTAAAGGTGTACCTTACAGATAAACTAAATCAGAGATGCGTAAGCTTTTGTGAGTTCAGGCTCGCTTCATCGGCTGCTGTGAAAGGAGAATTGTGACACTGCCAGCTCTCCTCACTGGGAGTCACTGGGCCGTCATGGGCATCAGTGGGACATGCCTTATGCATGCATCTGCACTGTTCAAACACAGACATGGGCTGACAGAGGAAAGCTGGTGCTAGGACCCCCTTCCCCAGGGTGTAACCACTCCCGAACTTTTGCACAAGTGCTTCCCCCCCCAGCCGAACCCTTCCCCGCATCCCCCCTCCACCAGTTCTCAGCTGCTGGCACTAGGTGGCACCATCAGGACGGGAAAGGAACGGCAATAAAAGTAACAGTACCGAGCAACGAGGAAGAGCACGCAGCTGACCGCCAGGTAGGCAAGTAACATGAAGAGCCAGACACCAGGAGAAAAGGGATCCAGGAAGGAGAAGTAGCCCGGTTTGCGCCCCTAAGATGGAGACAAAAAAGAACCCAGTGGGTTTCCTTTCTTTTTTAACATCAAAAAGTCCATGCTACAGAATAATACAAGGAACCACCCAGAGCAGACGTGACTGTGAGCGGCAACAAGATGGGGCTAGGAAAGGCAAACCACGGAGGGACCAGAAAATGCCCTCAGGGGAAGCAGGGGGGACAGACAGCAAAAAAGGAGCATGGTATAAACCTATGCAGCAGCTCACTGGCCAGCATGCACCTCCCCATACAGCAGCTGCCATCTTCGTGTACAGCAGGAATACAGGCAGAGAGGAATAGCCAGGACGGGTCACACCAGGGCTCCCCTAAGTCCAGCCTTGCCTCGGACGGCGGCCAGAACTTGCCCCTAATGGAAGCTTCTTCCCGACTTTCATTGATTAGAGGATGGCTTTTGCCCTGAAGTTTGAAGGTTTGTATCCCCACGAGCAAAACTATCTGCTAATTTAACTTAACTGAGGGTGAATTTGACCTAGCAGTTTTATCTTACATTTCTATAGCACCCTTTCAACCTGGGGGCTCTTAAAAGCACGAGCCCCAGTTTTGCAGCCTTCAGTTCACACAATTGATCCTTGCAAAGTAACCCTGTTGCAGGATAGGGAAACCTTCCTGTGTGCAGAAAGGAGGGTTGGATCACGCAGGTGAAAAAAGGAAAATGGGAGATAAATATTTTCCCCGAGTTCCATGCAAAAAAAGGAAGCATTTGGCCATCTTTTCCTGCTGCCCTTTCAATGTTACTTTTCTGCAAAATGCTTATTTTCCTATCGGGCAATGTGTTTCTTTTATCTTGTGGAAAGACTTGATTGTTGAAACTGTTCTGTGTTTTCAAAAATATAGGTCAGACCCCTAAAGCCTACACACAGAGCACTATGGCACCTCTGAAATGCAGCCACCTCTGGGTTGGAGGGGGCATCCATCAACCAGACCCACAACACGTTGTCTGCTACTGGGGGAAAGAGGGGAAAATGGAGTAAACTCCAGCTGTTCTGGACTAAGCTCCACTGAGGCTTTAATGTCCCTGCAGAGAAGGGAACAGCTAGGCGTTGAGGTCCTGACACTCCCGCAGGCACCATCGGGGCTCAGCACTTGTATAGACAAACGGTTTGTTTTTAAGTAGGAAGATGGAAGGATGAAGGGTTTCTCCAACTCAGCTGGCATTTGAACCTGTGGCTCACAGGCCTGGGTAACTTCTGCACAGACCACTTAGTTCATCTCGCTATCGATAGCATTTCTCTATTCATTTTGCTATCAATAGCATGCCTGAGCTCAAAGCCGGCTAAGCGTTAGATCCCCTGCAAAGCTTCCTATATTCAAGTCAGGCTAGAAAAGGCCTCCCTTCCCCCTGGCCCTTCTTCTGGAAGATGTCCAGGCTGCAAGAGTTGGACCCCGAGACTGGTCTATGGAGCCGTTTATTATGGCTCGGCTGGGTCCTCCGCTCATTTCTTACTGCTCCCTTGCTCCAGTGCCTGCTGTAGGTGGGCACCAGCATTTGCTGAGCTCGGCTCACTTAAGCAGCAATCCTTCTGCTCTGCTCTTGGGAGAAAGCTTCCCAGGAGACAGCTGCCCAGTTAAAAAATGGCTGGATTAACACAAAAGGGCCAGCTGAGGACTCCTCTTTGACACGCAGCCATGGTGTTCTCCTTTTGGTCCCCATAAACTAATAACAATTCATCATCTCTCAACCCAACGGCGGGGCACGTTGGCAGGGCAGTTGAGGCATCGTGCTCTAGCTGTAGAGGCATGCAAAATCAAGTCTCACCCTGGATCCCTGCTGAAAGCCATCTCCAGTCAACCCAGCTGCACTTAGCCATAGTCATTCAGCTTGGGGTGTCAGAGGTAGCAGGACGTGTTGCCGGCCACGTTGCTCCCTTATCCGCCTCTGGCCTCAGAAATGGGCACGCTTCAACCACATGAGCCCAGCGGGCTGTCAGGCCCTTCACACCTGGAATCTCATTAGCCCCATGAAACCTACTCCCATCACGGATCAAACACCTGATTTGTTTTTAACAGAATTTCATCCTAAAATAAGGCATTTTTTTTGCACAAAATTTCTCAAGAAAGAGAGCTGTAACTTTCCCCCGCAAGCCCAGAAATGTGACATTAAGTGAAATCTTCATGAAAAGCTTAGATTGGTATTGCAATGCATTGATTTGGAGCCACACTGGATTTATACACATTTTTTAACTTTGGAAATTCAGAGAAACACTCGGGATTTTGCTGACAAACGCACCCATTTTGGAGTGAAAAACCCCTCTGCCCAATTTGCTGTGGTTCTGGGTGGCATTTCAACCTCAAGGCAGTAACCAGGGCCACCACAATTTTCCTTAAACCTTTTAAGGCAAACCAGGACCAAGTTTCAAGCTGAGATAAACTAAACTAAACCACTTATGCCAATACCCCAAGCTGTGGAGAATTTTAAGGTTGGGATTTGAACACTAGCATTTGGGCCCATTTATATTTTCACTGGAGTCTGGCCTTGTTTTTTTCCTGTCGACACAAAAAACAAGGTGAAATCCAGTGTTTCTCTCTTGTTTGCTCCAAATTCATTGAAAACCCGTCCTCAAGAAAAGATGCAATTCCCACCGCGGACTGTGCACCAACATGATTTGCTTCTTCAAAACACAGCTCTTTTTCCTTGTCTGGGCTCTACTGTGTGTGGCATAACATGCAAGTGAATAGGACAGGAATGAACTGTGTAACAAACTACATTCTTCTTTTGTTCCTTCTTTCTTTATTTAGTTAATCACCACACAGTGATCTATCCTTCTTTGTATCCTTCCCAGAAACTTGGAGACAGGCAAGATGAATGTGTGACAGCCAGCACTTGGAACTGAACCAATCACCTCCAGAACTGAACACATCATCTCAAGGCTTCAGAAAGCCAGACATGGGGGAGGGGGGATATAACAGCTATGCATTTTTCTGCAAATGCCCTGATCCTCGAATGAATTGTGCATCACTGCTGGGTTAGAAAGGAAGCCCTCTGCCTACCTTCCTGGGGGGGGTCTTTTCATCACCTCGGAGAAGAGAGTACGTGGCACACAGCATGGTGACAGTACAAGACGCCACGTCAGCAGCAGGTCCTACAAAGCTTCGTGTTGCTCAGGGACCTGTCTGGTGCTGAGCAGTGAACACTGATGTGGTTCTGAACCTGCTCTAAGGCCCAAAACAGCCCTTAAAAAAATGGTCTTGTTCAGCGATGTCTATGTGAAATGATCCTTGTTGGCTCTACGACCAGGGGACACAAGGAGCTGAAAAGGATGTGGATAAATTAGAGAGAGTCCAGCCGAAATGGTTCAGAGGCTGGGCTACGTGACTTATGAGGAGAAGCTCAAGGAACTGGGCTGATTTAGTCACCTAAGGGGAGATTGAATAGCAGCTTTCAAATACTTGAAGGGTGGTTGCAAAGAGGATGGAGCTGGGCTGTTCTCAGTGGTGGCAGACGACAGCACAAGGAGTAATGAATGGGCTCCAGTTGCAGCAAGGGAAGTTTAAGTGAGATATTAGGAAGAACTTTCTCACTAGGAGGGTAAAGCATTGGAACGGGTAACCCAGAGAGGTGGTGGACTCTCCATCCTTGCAGGTTTTGAAGACCAGCTAGACAAAGCCTTGGCTGGGATGATGTAATTGGGGCTGGTCCTGCTTTGAGCAGAGGGTTGGACCAGATACGACCTCCTGAAGTCCCTTCACACCTTCACTGTCCATGATGCTATGACTGTATGAAAATGGCATGCATGAAATTTTGTATACTCCGGAGAGAGTCTCCTCCTCCAAGGCAGTCATCCAGATAGGTACAAACGGTTACCTCTGGCTCCTCAAGTACGCTGCCAGGACTTTGTAAATAGCCTTGGTAAAAGAAAAAAAATAGCCTAGCCTTAAAAAGTCCAGGCGTTGAACACTGTTCTGGTAATGGTTTGGACCTGCCCAGTATCTTAAGTATAGAGATATGGCACTATAAAAGTTAGCATCATGACAATTGAGAGCTGCTAACTACTCTTTTGGATCCGGAGACAGCAGCACAGAGGCTAAAACGACCATTTTCCCAGCGCTGACAATGTTCTCAAATCCAGAAGTGATCTCACTTCCCCTTTTCTGACTCCCATTTCAATAAAATCCTTTCTCTACGTGCTGCACCGCAACATCTCATTTCTCCAAGAGGAAATAGAGAAATGCTGTTTCCTGGCTCTGAAGAGGGACAGCAAAGTGGGTTGAGGGTGTAGGTGGGAAAGGTGTATCCTGCTGAAATGATCCGTCTGACCAGAAAGCCTGTTGATAGTCAGTGCCAGGACCCGTGACAGAACTGTAAGTAGTTTCCGCAGCAGATGAGTAAGTATGAAGGATTGAGAGAGTGGTTAGTTCATGAATCTTGATGCCCCATCTGGACTCGGGTTCAGCCTCCAGACCCTGGCTGGGACTGCGTCCGGACTCCTGGCTCTGGACTCAGATGCCTGACTCCAAGCCTAACTAGTTAGCTTGAATGCCAATGGCCCCTTCATGGAAGTCGTGGACCAGGAGGCATTGCTACCTGCCGCGATGTCCTTCCGACCAATTTCCCCTTTGGCAAATAAGTGCTCGATGTCTTCACTACGTTTCTGGGGCAGTTTGTCAATATGTTACTGCAGCGACGGAAATTGTATTGGACAAGCAGACCCTGACAGCTTGAAGTTGGAAATTGAAAGCTGGCCAATGAATAACCCTCGCGACCCAACAGAGATACTCGTTTCTGTTCCTTTTCAGCTGGAGTCATTTTTAGGTTGACGCTATATGTTCTTTTCATTCACAGTAGCAGCAACTAAAGAACTGCACACCAGAGGGAGAATAAAGATATTCTGCTCCCACAGAGGGTGCCAGCTATTGCTTATCTGCTTTTTTGAAGCTGGGAATGAAAATAGGTGGTGTATGCCTGGTATTTTTAGCAGGTTCCAGTAGGGCTTTGTTAATTGTGAGAGCTGCTCTCCCTGTTACAGACGTGCGTAAAATGTCCAAAAGCTTATGAAGGGCCTCCTGTATGTCTTCAACTGGAATCGAAACAGCGCAGATACCCTCCTCATCACATCTTGGAAGATTTTATGGGCCTCCAGGTATGACCGTGCTAAAGGGATTGTCGCCTCCCTTGGAGATGGAGGCAGCAGCTACTGCTGCATGAACATCCTTGCCGTGGGATTGTTCTTCCTCCTTGGAGACTTCCTCCATCTGCTGAGCATCTGGAAAGCATGCCTTAGGCTACTTCCTTTCTCTGCCTCTAAGCAGCTCCCGAGGTGACGCCCTCAAGCTATAGCCACAGTGAGGAGCCCTGGGGTCCAATCTGGCTGTGTAGGATTGCTATCAATGAAAGGAATAGGGACCCAACGCGGAGGATACGAGGGGATGGGTGAATATGCAGCTCAGAGGGATAGCTAGAATTCAGATACCTGTCCCAGCGTGCTGTCAACTTAGTAGCAGGTGCTGACATAAAGAGGTGCTGATAGCCATCTCACAGTCTTACTATGCATTCAAGGGGATGTGTCCTTGGTAAGTAATACTTGGTAAATAATACTACCAATAATACTAATACCAAGTGTCCTTGGTAAATAATACTAATTATTGTGTACACCCTCCTCTGATTCGGGATGTGAAGTCTCCTTAGGAAGAGGCTGAAACGGTGATTTTGACCGCTTCGGTACAGAAGTCTTATGAAGGGAAAGACCTCCAAGATTATAGGAGGAAGGATAGAATCATAAAAAATGAGGGTTGAAGGGACCTCAGGAGGTCATATCTACTCCAAACCCCTGCTCAAAGCAGGACCAGCCCCAACTACATCATCCCAGTCAAGGCTTTGTCTATCTGGGTCTTAAAAAGATACTTTTCCCCTACAATTCAAGGGTTTATCCAAGGGTATATGTTGTAGCTGTGTTGGTCTAAGGCCATAGGCAGGCAAGGATCTTTGGGTAAATCTGATATCTTTTATCCAAGGAAGCCACTGAGGTGATTAAAGGCTACTGAGGGATATTTCTGGATACCACAGGAAGAAGAATTGCTTCCACCATCTATCTGTGTGGCACATCGCATAACGGCAACCCACAAGCAGGACTCTAACCCAATGTCCGCGAGCAGGACTCTAAAACAACCATTAATTGTATCCTGCTCTACTCCTGCTACATCCTTCCACCCATTTTGACAGAAAACAGCCATCTTTCCAGTCTAAACACATCTGCTGAGAGCTCAGAGTCAATCTTTCTCCCCCCAATCTTTCTCCTGTTTGCTGGACAGAGGGGCGGAGAAAAAAAGAACTCTTTTCTCTCAGCAGCCTGCAAGTCAGAAAGCCCATTAGCGCCCGCGTGTCATAAATCCACACTTGATTATATCACAACAAGTGAAATGGAGAAAAATGACAGCCCCATTTGCAGCTGCCATATTTGGTTATGTGAGATAAGGAAGACATGTATAGCGTGGTGGTGGGCTTGGGAGGAGGAAGCGCGGGGGGACGGGGGGGGGATGATTGGGAACTGAACTTAAACAGAATATAAAAGGAAGTCATTAAGTAGGGAGGGGACCAGGACACGGAGATGGCTCCTTGGCAGGAAATTTATTTGTAGTTATTTGTTAAGCGATGCCTGCTCCAAGTTGTGATTAACTTATGTCGGCTGCAATTTTCTACTTCAAGATGTGGGGAGAAGAAGGGTGGTGGGGGGGAAGGAAAGCATTAAGAGCATCCAGGGCTCTGGGACTGCCTTTATCTGCTCCAGAAACCCGACCCTTAAAGGAAAACCAATGCAATTAGCTTGTGTTTTCATTGTTAAATACATATTTACTAGTCGAATGATTTAATTGCTGCACAGCTCTTAGGCACTGGCTTCTGGAGGAAGAGGGGCCAAATGGTTGGCATTACCTGCCATGACATGGAGCAGAGGGAGAGGGCTGGTGGACTTCACAGCCACAGAGTCCATTTCAGGGGGCCAAGGTCTGGGAAGGATCATCTGTGGGCAAAGAGGTATGCAGATAGAAGTAGCTATAGACATCCACCAGCAGTAGGTCTCTACTGCCCCCCCACAGCAGGGCTGCAAGAACATCTGCAACTCCAGAGGTGTTGGGTCTGCCATTGGAAACCGGCTTTGAACTCTGAAGCGCCCATTCGCTGTTGGGGACAGAGAATAGGACTATACAATAGGTCCAATCCAAGAGGGTACTTCCTTCATCCTGATGCTTGCTACTGGGCCCTGCATAATTGAGGATTTGCCTCAGATCAGAGCACCAGGAGAGAATAAAGTCTGCAAAAGGCTTTCCAGACTTCATTATTATTAATTGTATTTATGCCGGTAATGCCTATGGGCCAGGCAGGATGTAGCCTTGCTGCGCTAGCACTGTCTGAACACAGAGTAGCAGATGGTCTCTGCCCTGAAGAGCTTACAATCTAAACAGACATGGCAGATGTATTTTTGTCTAGCTTTCATGGCAGCATTAGCAAACGCCTTGCACTTACGGAGTGGATTACGTGCCCCAAACCCTGTTCTCTTTTCCTGACTTCTCTGCTAGAGAGCGAACTAAGGCTTGCTACCTCCTGCTGCAGCGAGGGAAAGCGAACCAGTAAGTGATTTGCCCGTGATCACAGACTAAGTTGGGGGCAGTGCATGTTCAGTCCATACCAGCAGCCCCCACTCCCTTGAGAAATGAGAGAAAGCAAGTAGATGAAGTAAGGAACTGCACTGGGGTCTGATCATAGCAAAGGTCTTGCAGACAAACCTCTAGGACATGCCTGGATTTTTTGGGGAGGACAGTACAGCAAGGGAAAGCATGTCTGGAGGGGGAAGGGAAGGGAGGAACCAGTCTTTACACATATTTGATCTCTCAAAGCATGAAAGGGTCCAATCCACATTGATGTGTTCGCTCATTGATCCTTCATTCTGCCCATACCAGAGAAAACCGAATTTTAACTAGGCTGTAATTACTTGTTTGTTCTTGGCAAGAGAAATCCAGCCCAGAGAGATGTGTGTGTGAGCCTGTTTACGCTACCACTGAATGCTGCATCCTTAACAGCCTTGTGAATTGAGAGAGGGGGAAGGGATCAGGAAGAAACGGCTTTAATTGTTTTATCTTTCAGGTTGTTAGTGTGCAGCTGATGGGGAATCAGGGCCGTATTTCTTAGAGCACGTAGAGCATGTTTGAAACTGCAGATTGGGCATATTATGAACCATCTCTGCAGCAGTCTGCCCTGGGTGAGACACAGGAATGCAAAGGGCTTCAGCTGGCGTGAAGAGTGAGAAAATCTGGCCACATCAGGGATTTATTAAAGTGAAAGGAGTGCATATTAGCCAACTAAAGGTGCCCAGTTCCAAATGGGCAAGGCGAAGGGGAGGTCTTAGGAGACGTGTGTCACTTTACATTGGGAATCGAAGCTGATGAGCTTTGTCCAGCTGAGCATATACATCTGCACTGCAACCTCAGAGTGCCCTGAGATGGAGGGCTCCCACCTGCTTCCATTCACATGTATTACATTTGGCGATGGACCAAGCTGCTCCAGAAGGATCTCCTGAGGGCCAACCAGTGTCCTTCACAGATGCTAATAGCTTCACTGCATTGCCAAGCTCGGTGCATCTGAGCAAAAGCCATCAGATGGGTTTTGCACCCACTCTGGGGCATACTGGGGATGTGGTGTAGCCGTGTGCTAAAAGAATATGGGATATAATGCCATGCTGGTGAGAATGATCACCCCTGGGGTGACCCACAGTTACTCAACAGTGGGTTATAGACTCATGTCCTCCTAAAAGTAGGTGGGCACTTTCCTTCCACTCAAGTAACAGGGTACCCAGCAGAACCCAAGGGGGCATCTCAGACACATCAAGGGAGAGCCAAACTATGGAGCATCTGCCAAGAAACACACTTAAGATAATGAGCTCATCAGCGCATGCCTGATGCCACTGCAGTGTTTATTAACACAGCTCCCAGAATCACTAATCCATCTTGTGGCACCCTGGGTAGTCTAGGAAGGGCCAGATTCTGCCATACTTGCCTTGAACAGTGCATGAAACACCAGGTATGTTCTCACTACAGGCTCAGCAGTGAAGTGTAGACACAACCAAGCTAGCTTTAAACTAGCTGGCTCAGAAACCAGTGACAGTTCAGCAATTGGCTCAATTTGGGCCAACTGACCTGGCTTTTCAGGCTGGTTTCCAGCCTACATTGACATCTGTACTGTTGTTGGTAGCCGAGGCAGCCAGCCTAAACTAGCTTGCGTGTGGCTACACCATGCTGTAGTCACTTCTGTGCCGGTGGTGTAGACATATCCAAAATCAACAGGACTGCTCAAGCGGGGATGGTGCTACTCCATGTGAGCAATGAGTCAAGGCAGCAGATCAGGTTCTGGGTCCAGAGTGCCAATCTCCTACTTTAGAAAAGTTCCCAATAAGCAAGACGACTCTTGAAGTCTCATGGGTGACCTCATGCAGATGCTGGCCAGACTCAGTGCTGCTTATCTGCAGAGATCTGGGGTGATGAGACTTGCAGATAGTGCGGCTACCCACTGATAACAGCAGCAATGCTCCTGTGCCAGCTGCATTTGGGGTTGAACCAGAGAGTGCTGGAATGAACGGGAATCTTTCCACTGACATGCTGGGCTTTGCATCAGTCCCTGCCAGGCAGGCATGGAGGAGGGAGCAGAGCAGACCCTGCAGTCCCCCGTACATGGGATGCTTCCTGGAGCCAGGGAGAGCTGTGTGCATGCAGCATTGGGCGCTGGGAGTGTTCCTGGCAGAGTTGCTGTGCTGAATCCTTGCAGCTAAGATGGGCTGGAGGGAGGGGGAAATAAAGGTCCAGCACATTTGAGTTTAGATAAGAAACCAAAATATTGTTATGAGTCATTCATTACTGCTCTATAACTATGCGCGTTTGCATGCAAATAACTGTAATGACATAAACGGTTATAAAATAAGTCTCTTACCATATGAACTCGGTAGAGAATGCTAATTCCCAGAGTCATGAATGGCTTAGAGAAATCAATCACCTTCTCCCGCTCTGCAGTAATCGTCAGGCCAGCCACTGCCAAGTCGGCTTTCTAAACAGACAGGAAGGCAGAGATTGTCAGCAGCCCTGCCCCAGAGGCCAGGTGCCCAGGTGGGAAGGCGTGCAGAGAAATGCATCCCGGCTCAGAGAATCCCCAGCTCCAAATATTCTCCCCTCCAAAGGCACCAAACCCCCATGGCCACAGAAAACCCTTCTATTTAATGAGACATGGGAGAAATCCTGGCTTTACTGGGAGCTGTGCCATGGACTTCAGGATGCCACCCCCCGAGGTGGCACAAAACCCAGCACCAAGGTAGATGTCACCTGGTGTGACTATGCAGTCAGCTGCTGCCCAGGAGCACAACTGAGCGCTTAGCTGGTCTCACCCAGCCTTAACCCCCCTCCGCCTGGCTGCTTTCTGCTTCTTCCTAGTGGAGCGAGGTTCCCTATCCCCAGCCTCTCTGGAGCTCCTGCTATCCATCTGCAAAATGGGCACTGTCATCCTCTGTTTCGTGGTCAGAATCCCAGTTAGGATCCCGCTGTGCTAGGTGCTGTACAAACACAGACAAAGCAGAGCCAGGCCCTGTCCCAAAGAACTTACAATCCAAAATGAACACCTACAGCACCTGCTTCTCAGAGGGAAATAAGGGAAACCATCCCTACTGGCAAGGTGATTTGAAGAGGATGCCAGAAACCCGTGAGACCTGCCCTTCCCACACCGCACAGGATTGCTGCAGCTCAGGAACTCGCTGCCTATGCAGGATCTTTGGAGACGGGCCCTAAGCATCACTGCTATACTGCCAACCCCAAGAATTCACGCTTACTAATCAAGTAATTTTTTTTGTGTGTTTTTTGCAAATATCTAGTTGGTCTAATAAACAACATCACTTCTGCCACGAGTTCTGATTCCAGTTATGAATCGGTCACTGAGAAATCACAAGACCAGCTGCAAAATGAGAAGATCAAGGAAACACAGAGAGTTTCAACAACTGCCACTTTTCTTTCCTTTTTTGAGTTTTTTGGGGGCACAGGTGCCACAGGCCACAGCCTCCGGCACTTCTTCTCAAATGCGAGGGCTAGGGTTTTGATACTAATGGAAGCCGATTTTGCTGTAATCGCCTGACTCCAAGAACCGAGGAACCATTAGAAACCGCCTCGGCAGTCAGAAAATGAAATCGATGACAAGCCAACAGTGGAAATGGCTGCAAGCAAAATGCTGAAAGCAAACAGAACAGCCCCTGCTAGAGAGCTGCAGGATTTGCACCTTCGCAGCACCTCGCGGAGACCTCCTGCCCTTGAGCTAAAGAGATAACTCCACCAGGTGATAACAGGAGAAAGACTGCTATCCTTTTGTGGCCTCAGCCACCACCCAAAACGCACACCTCCACAAATGGTGGCATCAAGCAAATTAGGTTAAAATAAACTAATAAATAACCCTTCTTCCATTTTTATAATTTAGTATCACACATAAAGGAACTTCACGTTAAATAACATATTTATTATTAGACCTTCCTTTAATGGCTTTAACTGCTGTTTGTCAAATGAGGTTTGCACGGCTCTCTTACATATGTATTGCTTCCTCTCTCCTACATGTATACTTATGTTATTTTCAGAGTAAGCAGTGACAATTGTGCAAGGGGGGGGAAGAAAACCAGCTTGTACTTTCCACCGCTGATTTCCACCAGGGCCACACAGCAGCCAGTACACTATCATGACTTGAAGAGCCAATAAAATATGCAGCTTATCTCTCCGGATCCATGCCCTACTTGTAAATGCACCGTGAGATGGCAAATTCGCATGTGCGTCTCTCTCTGCATGCTGCCTGAACCTGCTGCTGTTGCAGGATTTTCTTAAGAATAACTGGATTAATCATCTTCTGGCAGAGGCTCTCAGAAATCTTTCCCCATTTAAAGTCATGCAGCGAAAGGGCTGTAAAATGTAGGACCTGCTGCAAGAGCAAAAACAAAGTGTCGGTTTATTGGAGCTCTATTTTATTACCCGCAGGAAGGGGGGAAAAAGGCAGCAAAAATCTGCCCAACAGTAAGTAAGGTGCACGGGTCAAGGAGAAAGTGGTATTTCACATTCTGGGCAGGAGAGGTTTATTGGAGAAAGCGGAGCCGGATTCTGTGTTAGGATGCAGAGATAGGTGATTCTTAAAGAAGCTGAGACTGGAATTAGAAGCCAGGGGAAATTCCTATCTATCCAGCCATCTACCTATGATGGTTTAAATGGCATCTATGACCACAGTCTGGCAGGGTGGTTGGGCATGGGAGTAACCACCCCCCAAGTGCTGAACACCCCGGCGTATAACTATTAGATTTGACCAATCTAAGCGCCATGGTATTGAAGGGATTCTGAGATTAGGGAAAGCCCCGGACGAGCTATACTTGACTTGCCTACACTTCGAGGGATTTGCTGAGATAGCAATACCGGGGAGAGCTGTACCTGAAAAGCTCCCTAATGAAGATGCAGCTTTTATGACAAGAGAGTTCTTGCGTGGTATAGCTTAAAGCAAATCATACTGGAATGAAGATACACTGGCAAAGGAAAAGCAAACCCTGCGTTATTGGCAAGTGGTTGGACTGGAAAACTCTCAAGGTCCTTCCCATCCTATGGTAAGCAGGTGATCACTGAAGAGACCACCTCTTAGGTGCCAATAGGGCTAGTCCTCTGTCTTCAGGTCTGTCTTCACATTCCCTTTTCTATCTGCCTAGCTTCTGTGCACCCAGCCCTTTCTCTTGCCCCCAGTGCAGTGCTTTTTCCCTGTTTCAGCTCGGCTGCGAGCCATTCAGATCCTAGGCATGGATATGCTCCGCAGTCAAGTGCATTGGCTGATGCAAGCTCTTGCCAAGGCCAGCTAGAGCCAGCACCAAGGATTCGGGGACACGATTGCAAACTCAACGTGCAGATGACTGAACATGGAACAGCAGTATGCTTTTCAAGGACAGGGTGAGGATGGGGGGTCCTTGGGGAGAGGGGAAGGAGGGGGTCTGAAGAGAGCACACGGAGGCACCACTCAGCCAGCAAGCTGGTTCCTCTATCTGAATCCAGGGGCAGTGCCTTTGAGGAGGCGGAGGAGGAGGAGTGCTGTTATGCCACCTAGATCCCCCCCTGCCGATATCCTAGGAGCAAGCCCTGGGTGGGAGCTATTAGGCAGAAGATAGTGGGAGTCGTGGGAACTGAAAGTCAGCCTGAGTTCAGCAGCTAACTAGGCGAGGAAAGCAGGAGCCTTGGCACAGAGTCGGGGCTTGGCCCAGAGGTCAGACGTGGGGAAGTCACTCCCCAGAGCAGCCCCCCGAGGGGAGAGGAACTACACCAGCGCGGCAGCAGTCAGGAGCAAACCTGGAAGACTTTGTTCCAAGGTTACCGAGTCTCAGTGTCACTGAAAATCCGACTTACAGCACCGTATCCTGAGAAGGCTTAGGTAAATTTCAAGAAACTCTGCCTGAGACTAGAGATAGGAGAGACTATTATTTTTAAATATCCGGCTTTTGCGACGAAGAAAGAAAACCCATGCCTGCACTGACAGCCGCTACAAAGCCATTACATATGTCCTTTCTTCTGCATTTAAGCCCTGAGCATGCCAACTCCTAGGGGTTTTTTTTATTTCTCCTGGCCCGGGATGGATTTTAACTCAGTCGAAAGCTACCTGCCCACCACAGCCTGGAGGAGCAGCACTGAATCTAGGGGTCAGATGCATTACTCAGGTGGTTTAAAGGGGCGTCGCTGCACTGATGTCCAAGGACTAGTGCCAAGGGGAAAGAAAGCAGCCGGGTTTAGTCGGAGGAGGGTACATGCCATGCTGCCATTGTGGGAACCTGCTAAGAAACAAGTCCCACCTGCTGCCTCTCTCTCAGCATGCACTGCTTGCCAAAAAATGCTGCCAGGTCATTTTTTAGATTGTGCTGAGGGACGCAGTCATGATCTGTGCCACAGGCACGCTCCTGAGAGCGGTGCTGGGTATGACAGGTGGCCACCCACTCCTTCAGCCAGTGTCAGGGGAGCTCTTGCTTTCCTCTTGAGACTTCAGCATTGTCCTACTGGCAACTGCTCCAGCGGGCAGGCGTGACAGCAACCTCCTGCCGATGCCTGATCTGGTGCAAATCCATCCCCCCTTCTTCCTTGTTAAACCAAACCTCAGTGCAGCACCGAACCTCGGCCTTCATGTCTTTATGGTGCCATATCTGGGGCTCTCTCTCTGTCTCTCGAAACAGTGGGAAGTCATGAAAGTTAAGAGCTGGGTTCTGACGGCCATAAATTTGATCTGCGAGGCACATGTGTTCATAGCCTCTGCCTGAATGCCACTGCCTCGTGCTTGCGACTTTTGCTTCAAAATGGCCAGGAGAGACGGGCCTTTCCCACCGTGGCTCGCTGAGGTTGCATCTCTTAGTAACTATGGGAGCTTTGCCAATGCAAATGCTCAGCACCCATTCCTCACTCAAGCCCAGGTAGAAGGCATCACTGAGGTTTCATCATGCCAGATCTGGGGAAGGTGCATCACTTCCTCGCTGCTTTTGAAACCTGTCCGAGTTCAAGCATTGGGAGGAAGGGAACAGGGTAGAGCCAGACACTACTACGTGCCTCTTATTCCTCCAATGGTGTGCTGCATTCGCACAATCAAGGCGAACACTAAATAAACTAAAAATAAAAAGCCAAGCGCATTATGGGAGCACAGCCTGATGCTTCTAGAGCAGACAACAGCTTAAATGAGAACAAAACTCTAGTTGGATCCGAGGAGCCCCGGGTGCATGGATGTCTGCAATGAAACGTATGACCTGCCACGGCTAGCGCTGCTGCTAAGCGCGGCTGCTGCCGGCGCTCTGAGTGCCCATGCTGGAATATGCCGATGCTGCAGCTGAGCACGAAATTAACTGTTGAGCCTGTGTCTGGGTGCTAAGAAGGAGGCACAATTAAACAGATTTAAGAAGTAAAAGGCGGGGATTTTCCATCTGGAGAGCAAAGCTGCCTCCTCCAGTGCCAGCCTGACTGCAGATGCCAGCAGAGCTCATCCTGATGCCAAGGGTGACGAGTGGTGAGTGATGTCAAGCGGCG